TGGTTACTGAAAATTCTTTGCTCTCATGCACCACAGTCCTGCCGCCTGCTCACACCTGCTGCTGGTGCCCGGTGCTGGCTCCGATCACCCCTGAGGGCTTCACCTCCCCCTGCTCCTGAGGGGTGATCAGAGCAGCAGCCGTCACTCGCAACCACTGATGGTGCTGGCCCCACTTGCACCTGCTGCTGACGCCGGCCCCAATCGCTCCACGCTGTCAGTGGGTGAGAGCGGGCCCTGCGCCATCAGTGCGTGGGAACAGTGGTGGTGGGAGCAGGGCTGCTGGCAGACAGGAAACCAGGGGCTGCAGCAGGAGGGGCCGGGAGGGGGCGCAGAGGATGGGCTGAGACCCACCCCTGTGCCTACTGCAGCCTCGTGGCCCACAGTTCCTTTCAAGGTGTACGAATTCATGCACTGGGCCCCTAGTAGTTATTATAATATTATTGACTACTAGAGGCTTGATGCATGAAATTCGTGCACGGGGGGGGGGGGGGGGGGGGGGCTCAGCCCAGCCTGCACCCTCTCCAATCTGGGACTCCACAGGAATCGGGCCTAAACCAGCAACCAGAAATCCCCCTCACAATCCGGGACTGCTGGCTCCCAACCGCTCGCCTGCCTACGTGCCTGCCTGCCTGATTGCCCCTAACCGCTTCTGCCTGCCAGCCTGATCATCCCCTAACCACTCCCCTGCCAGCCTGATCGATGCCTAACTGCTCCCCTGCCGGCCTGATCGCCCCCAACTGCCCGCCCCTGCTGGCCATCTTGTGGCTGTGGGCGCCATCTTTGCGATGTGTGAGGGTCAATTAGCATATTCCCTCTTTATTAGATAGGATATTCTCTAGTCTGTACTTTACATCCCATGACTATTTCCTAACTACCAATTTTTACTCCTTAATCCCTTCACCTTTTTCACCCAGCCCCCCAAACCCACTCCATTAGTTTGTTCTCTGCATCTATGAATCTATTCCTGTTTTGTTTGTTTATTTATTTTGTATTTTATATTCCACATATAAGTGAAATTATACAGTATTTGTCTTTCTCAGTCTGACTTCTTTCACTTAATGTAATAATATCCTCTAGGTCAATCCATGTTGTCACAAATGGAACTATTTCATACTTTTTTATGGTCAAGTAATTTTCCATTGTATATATATGTACCACCACTTTATTCGCTCATCTATTGATGGGCACTTGGGTTGCTTCAATATCTTGGCTATTGTAAATAATGCTGCAATGAATAGGGGTGCATATATCTTTTCAAATCAGTGCTTTGGGTCCTTTGGATTTATATCCAGAAGTGGAATTGCTGGATCATCAGGTAGTTCTATTTTTAATTTTTTTGAGGATCCTCCATACTCTTTTCCATAGTGGCTGCAACCTCTATTCCCGCTAGCAATGCATGAGGGTTCTTTTTTCATCACATCTTCACCAACACTTGCTAATTGATAATAGCCATTCTGACAGGTGTGAGGTGATATCTCATTGTGGTTTTAATTTGCATTTCTCTGATGATTAGTGACATTAAGCATCTTTTCATATGTCTATTGACCATTTGTAAATCCCTCTTTGGAGAAGTGTCTATTAAGGTCCTCTGCTCATTTTTTAAATTGGATTGTTTGTTGGTTTTTGTTTTTTTGGTGTTGAGTTGTATGAGTTCTTTATAAATTTTGAATATTAACTCCTTATCAGATGCATCATTGGCAAATTTCTTTTCATTTTTTTTGATAGTTTTCTTTTGCTATGCAAAAACCTTTTAGTTTTACGTAGTCCCATTTATTTATTTTTGTTTGCTTTCTTTTTCTTGCCCAGGAAGATATATCAGGAAAAAAAATATTGCTAAGAGATATGTCAGAAAGTTTACTACCTATGTTTTATTTTAGGAGTTTTATGGTTTTGAGTCTTACATTTAAGAGTTTAATCCATATTGACTAGTCTAGCTTCATCTTTTTTGTATATATCTGTCCAATTTTCCTAACACCATTTATTGAATAGACTGCCTTTACCCCATTGTATGTTCTTGCCTTTGTCATACATTGATTGACCATAGCAGTAGGTTTATGTCTGGGCTCTCTATTTTGTTCCACTGATCTATTTTTGATCCAGTCTGTTTTTCATGCCAGTACCATGCTGTTTTGATTACTAAAGCCTTGTAGTGTAGTTTGATAATAGGTAGCATGATACCTTTGTCCTTCTTTCACAAGATTGTTGTGGCTATTTGGAGTATTTTATGGTTCCATATAAATTTTTGGATTATTCTAGTTGTGTGAAAAAGGCCATTGGTATTTTGATAGGGATTGCATGGAATCTATAGATTGATTTGGGTAGTATGGACATTTTAACACTGTTAAATCTTCTTATCCATGAGTACAGTATATGCTTCCATTTATTTATATCTTTAATTCCTTCCATGTTTTATAGTTTTCCAAGTACAGGTCTTTTACCTCCTTGGTTAAAGTTATTCCTAGGGCCCGGCCAGCATGGCTCAATGATTGAGTGTCAACCTATGAACTAGGAGGTCACGGTTTGATTCCCGGTCAGGGCACATGCCCAGGTTGTATGCTGGTTGGAAACATGCAGGAAGCAGTTGATCAGTGATTCTATCTTATCATTGATGTTTCTATCTCTCCCTCCCTATCTGAAATCAATAAAAAATATATATCTAAAAATTTATTCCTAGGTGCTTCAATATTTTTTGGTTGCAGTTGTAAATGGGATTTTCTTAACTTCTCTTTCTGATAGTTCACTATCTATATATATAAAAGTCTAAGCAACTGTTACCAAACAATTGGTCGCTATGACAGCGCACTGACCACCAGGGGGCAGACGCTCAACGCAGGAGCTGCCCCCTGGTGGTCAGTGCGCTCCCACAGCCAACCTCCCATGATTGGCCAACTTCCCATGTTCCCTGCCCCCCGCCCCCCGGCCGGTCCCAATCAGGCCCAATTGCTAGCCAGGCCGAGGGACCCCACCCATGCACGAATTCGTGCACCGGGCCTCTAGTTGGTGTAGAAAAATTCAACCTATTTCTGAGTATTTGTTATCCTGTTACTTTACTCAGTTCATTTATGAATTCTGGTAGTTTTTTGATGGAATCTTTAGGGTTCTCTACATATAGTATGTCATCTGCAAATAATGAGTTTTACTTCTTTCTTTCCAATTTGGATATATGTATGTATTTATTTATCTTATTGCTATGGCTAGGACTTCCAATATAAGTGGTGAAAGTGGACATCCCTGTCTTGTTCCTGATCTTAAAGAAAACACTTTTAGAGAGCATTATGCTAAGTGAAATAAACCAGTCAGAGAAAGACAAGTATCACATGATCTCATTTATATATGGGATCTAAGGAACAAAATAAACTGATGAACAAAAAAGATCCAGAGATACTGAAGCATGGAATAGACTGACATATTTCAGAGGAAAGGGGTGGGGAGAGGGGGGTGTGAAGAGATTAACCAATGAACTTATATGCATAATGCATAGCCCATGGATAGATAATAGTTTGGGGAAGGGCTGGGGTGGGGATGGGACTGTGGTGGAGGGGTTAATGGGGCAGGGAGAGGAAACATCTGTAATACTTTAAGATAAATTGGGGGGAACATACCTTTAGCTTTTCCCCATTGCAAATGATGTTAGCTTTTAGTTTGTTATATATGGCCTTTATTATGTTATGTTCCCTCTATTCCCACTTTGCTGAGAGTTATCATAAATGGATACTGGATTTTGTCAAATGCTTTTTCTGCATGTACTGATATCATGATTTTTATCCTTCATTTTGTTTCATGGAATGGTTTTAGTTTTTATTCTCCAACTTATTCTGAGACAGGGAGAACTTATTTTAAAAATTATTATGTTGAAAATGAATAAATATGTCTACATACTTGCTCAAAGGTCAGTCGTTTTTGAAAGGTAGAAAATTAAGTAGAAGAACATTGTCTTTGGAGCTCAGGCTCCATCTGACAGCCTGTGCTCCAGGCAAACTTTGCCGCTAGGAGAGGAGCCTCGTCAGAGACGCAGGAGTAACACTTGTTCAGGAATGTTTGCATTTTTAGGGGAAGAGGTTAGAGAAAAGACTCTCAGGTGGCCCAGGCAGGGGAGCCCACTACCAGCACCCCCATCCCTCCAAGGGGATCCATCCTTTGCCTGAGCTCACCTCCCTGCCCTCACAGGGAGGCCACCTCTCAGGTAACAGAGAGGCTGTGAAGGGTGCAGTGGACAAGCCTTCTCTCTGGACGTTGCTGGTGATGGGTCAGGTGCTTAGTCATTGGAAGACTCAGTGTGGGCGTGACCTTTATCCCACTTTGCATCCCGGGCCTCTGCCTCTGCCACTCTGGCTGCGGGGCTGTGCCAGGCTGAGATGGCAGCCTTCTCCCAGGACGCGGCTTGCAAAAACTGCCACTGTGTTACTGTTGTGCTGTTATTTTTTTTTTTTAAATAAACAAATGTAGAAGGAAATTGAACTTACTGATTCTATGGTTTTATCATAAGTGAAGAAATGAAAGGCCTAAAATGCCGTTTTAAACATTGGAAAGGGCACATTTCTTTGTGGAGATGAAGAACTTCTAACATCTGGCCAGTCTGCCCCACCCCTTACCTTCCTGGCTCAGAAAAAAGTTTCCTTTCGATGCTCCAAGTGTATGTGTTTTTGTTTTGTTTTTTGGCTGCTTACACCAAGAAGAAAGGATGTGCGTGTTCCTGCTAGGTCTGTAGCCCTGGAATCTGGCCAACATAGAGTGGCAAACCCTTTCATCAGCTAGTACATGACTGGAGGATCAACGTTTGTGTTTGTTATCAGTGGGCTTTCTGGATGCTGAGCTGTGTGGGTCATTCTTTCCTTTTCCTACTCGTGTATTTTATGCACAAACATGTAATAGTACTAAAATAAGGGGGGAAAGGTATTTGAAACATAGAAGTAACCAAATTATATAGCTTTTATTTTTGTGGAAACTCTGGACAAAAAAAACATTACATAGATATTTAGAAAGAAACTTCAGAGGCAAACTTGAGGGGCATTTTTTTAATTATAAATTTAATATGGTTGATTAATGAAAAATCACAATGAAGTACCGAGAAAATGTCTGTCAATATAAAAATTTTAGCAGCATTTTCAGTTTCAGGCTCTAACATTAGTCATACTTCCTCCCGCTATCAAAAAATAATCCAATGGGATACAGTGAGCATCAAGATGTTCAGCTTAGTGAAGGCCTCAAGGAAATCCTCAAATCCAGTGTATTATCTGATATTTCAACCGCCCCTCTCCCAAATTTCTAGAATGTCAAAGTATTTGCCTCAATGTTTGAGACAAGAATTCCTGCGGCTGCAGGGGAGAAAGGAGTGAAAATTAGAACTGGACTTGATATGTAGTGCTCGAGTGCATGTCCTCTGTACATTCTCTACATTGACAATGAACGGCCACGGCAGGGCTGACTGATACCTGCATGTGGCAGCAGTGGTGGGGGAGGGTGGGACAGGGAACCGGAAGTGGGACGTGTACACGATGGGGTCGGTGCCTCACCGCACACACTGCTGGGGCAGGCCAGAGCCTGGCAGTATTGCTACATCCCAAGTTAAAGGTAGGATTCATGAGGAGGGGAGACAAACAATATGAAAATATAATACTGGCAAACTATTCCCCTGCTTCTTTGGTACTCTCCAAAAATTCTCTGATCAAAAAAGCTAGGAAGCGCACATCATTAAAAATTACAGTTTTAAGTATTTACAGAAGCAATTATGATATATTACATAATCAATACACAGTATATGAACAAACTTCAGTGAAAGCACTTGGGAACTCCTGTTCCACTATTATTCAATATCACTTCAACATACGCACACCTCCCAAATTTGTATCATACATCTCTCAGTTATCTTACAGTATGTTAAATGGGAACAATAGCATTTTCCAATCTACACTTTCCTTTTAAAAGGTTCTCAAAATTTGCCACTGAAATCACTATGTACAAAGATCTGCTGAATATTGAATTCTAGGCAATTCTCTCCACTCCCATTTTGGATATATTTGCAATAATGCTACCTATTCTATGTATACAATATGTATTTAATATATAAGTAACTGCACCATGTTATGTCACCACGATACCAGTTTAATGCACATGATATGTACAGTAGTTAAGTTAGCTCTGGAGGATGACTACCACCTAGGTGAACTGTGGTCTGGAACCACCTGCAGGGCGTGGAGAAGCTGGCTGGGAGGCAGCCCGTGCGTGGGCAGGACGTGTGTGTGTGTGAGAAATGTGGGCACACGCCTCCCACACATCCCCATGCCAGAACCTCCCTCGCTGGCTGACTGGAAGAAGACAAATCACACATATGGAAGGATCCCGTACACAAGGAGAGCCATGACAGCAGCACTGAACAGCCCAGCCACGGGGACAGTCACAAACCAGGCCACAAAGATGTTCCGGAAGAGGTGCCAGTCCACGGCCTTCCGGGAGCGGATCCAGCCCACAGCCACCACGGAGCCCACCTGAGAGCAGAAACATTTTAAAGTTAAAAGAGCCCACAAACTCAACCAATGTAAACTGGCTAATCTCAAATAAATTACATTATAAAATTACCTGCTCTTTTCCCTAACTTTGCTTAAAGCTTCTAAACTGGTTTAGATTTTAGGTACAATTGTCTATGCTTCTGTACCTTATAAACTATGAATGCCCCTGTTTTAAATATTCCCCACGTAGGCTATGGCTTACTACAGTATGTAAACCGGCTTTAATTACATAATGAAGTGGCAATAATGTATCTTTCTCTTTGAAAAACAGCATCATAAAATGTTGGAGCTGGAGAAGACCTTTGAGAGTATGAGATCACACCGAGCCCTGGGGGGCTCGGGCGCCAGGAGATACCACAGATCACGCAGACTAAGGACTGGAAGTCAGGCCTCTGACATTAAACTGGTTTCTTCCATTATCTCAAACTGCCTTGCAGTCCTTGCACTTTAGCTAATTTAAAAAAATAAAATAAATGGAGCATAAATATTGGATCTAATGTCAATCACGCATCACAGAGGCATGACAGAGATCCGTGGAAATTAGAATATCAATACTGATTCAAATATTTTTCTAAATACTTGCAGTTCATTTTATGGTTTGCTGAAAGTCTAAAAAGGAAAAAGAAAAAAAAAAGACACTTCAAGTATCCTAAAAATCCTAAGAAAGTACATTCCCTTTACCGTCTCACGCCTCCATCAGGTTCTGGGGAAGCTCAGAGAGTTTAACTTGTTAGGTGGCTCTTGAAGATCTCCATAAAACAGGCTTGTCTGCTGACCCTCCAATACTTCAGAATCAGCAGTGGCCAGTGAGATTCAAGTAGCGAAAAATAAAATCTAACACTTTAAATTGTTTATGGAAGCCAAGCAGAACGCCAAAAACAGTAGCATATTTAAAGGCAGTTATTTAATGTGACATTTTGTCAACTTAAGCCATCAAATCCACAAACACTATCTCCTGAGATTAAATTCTTGTTACTCACTGTGTCCCCGGAGTGTGTGCACCCCAGCTGTTCTGGATTACCTCCATGGCAAGGACACAGTCAAGTTTCTATTTTATCAGTGCCCTCTTCATTTCTTGGAACACATATTTTTAAGCATAAAGGTAATAAAATAATTTTAGAGCAAGTGTATGTAATAGGAGGGATGGACAATTACTGAGAACCCAACTACTGTTATATTTATATATTCTTTTCTAGTATTTTTATAAATATAGCTTTTTAAGTAAATAATAGGGTAGGCTACTATTTTTCTTTAAAAAAATTAACACTACATGCTAAGCATTTTCCCTTTGTACTCACAGCCTTTATGATTATCATGTAAAATGGTACATACTTTAGGTGGATGTACCTTAATTTATTTAACCATTTCCAATTTGCTTCAAATTTTTCCCTATCAGAAACAGTTCCATGATTAACATATTAACTCATACAACTTATGTTTAGGCTTTAAAAAATAATATTGCCTGAAATGGATTATTCATTAAAGGGGACATTTATAAAACACCTTGAAATAATCTGAAACTTAGAGAAAAGCTGCAAGAACTCCCACACACCCTTGACCAAAATCCACCAATATTTAACATTTTGCTGTAATTTACAAGGAAACATTTTCATACCATTAAAATATCCTGCTCCTCATCAACCCCCCTCTTCCCTTCTGCTAAAGATTTAGCAATCTGATCTTTAATATGACGGCTGCAAAACGGTGATTTACCAAGGCCTTCCCTTGTCTCCTACTACATGCTAGGACCTCAGTAGCTACTGCCAAAGTATTATAAACAGATGTGAATATACAAGGTCATCCATAACCTGTGAACTTCACACCACAACAATTCTGTAAATTGTTCTTTTTTGCTAATCAATCAACAAAAACATGTACTACTGTTGCTATAATTTATATATCTTTGATTATGACTAAGACTGAACTTTATCCAATTTTACTCCCTCTAGTCTTTACATATAAAAATTGTCTCTTTGTATATTTTGCCCTTTTACATAATGGGATCTAAATGTAAATGTGTCCCTTATTTATTTATGTGAAAATATTAATGCAAATATTTTCCCAACCCAAGTTTCTAATTTTATGCAATAACAAGACAAGCAATAACAAGTGTTGGAGAGTTGTGGAGAAAAGGGAACCCTCATTCACTGCTGGTGGGAATGTAGACTGGGTAAGCAGACTGGCGATTCCTCAAAAAATTAAGAACAGAGCTACCATACGACCCAGCAATCCTTCTTCTGGGTATCTACCCCAAAACTGGAAAACACGTATTCGCAAAGATCTATGCACCCCTATGTTCATTGCAGCATTATTCACAGGGGCCGAGACATGGAAACAACCAAAGTGCCCTGTGGTAGAGGACAGGATAAAGAAGATGTGGTACATACACACAGTGGAGTACTACTCAGCCATAAAAGAAAGGATGCTATAGAGTCATTTGCAATACCATGGATGGACCTTGAGAATATTATGCTAAGTGAAATAAATAAGTCAGAAAAAGCTAAGAACCAGATGACTTCACTCATATGTGGGATATAAAACTGAAACTCATGAACACAAACAGCAGTGTGGTGGCTGTCAGAGGGAAGGGGAGGAGGAACACAAATATATGGTGACGGGAGAAAATGTGACTTTGGGTGGTGGGCATATAGTGCAATATACAGATCTTGAAACATAGAAACCCACACCTGACACCTATATGATCATGTTGACCAATGTCACCCCAATATATTTAATAAGAAAAGGGAAAAAAAGAGAAAAATGTTAAATTCTTCAACTATGAAAAAAAATAATTTCAGGCAATAAAATATGCTGCACTTTTCTCTGCGATTTATCCTTAGCTTGAATATTTGATACATATTTAATTCTTTTATTCTAAATTCTCTAAAACAAAGTCATATTTTATTCTAAATTTTAAAATATTTAAAAAATATTATTTAAGTCATCAGATATATGTTCATATATTTTGAGAGTTGTGCGTCTAATTTTGTTTTTCTAGATTGACAGCCAGCTGTCTAACATCCTTTATTGGTTACATTTTCCCTTCCTCAAACTATATGCTCGTATATCACAGGCTCTCTCTCTTGCCTATCGACTGTTTGTAGGTAAGTATCTAAGTATTTTTATTATTGTGCTAAAATATACATAACATAAAATTTATCATTTTAACCATTTAAAAAAATATATGTTTTTACTGATTTCAGAGAGGAAGGGAGAGGGAGAGAGAGATAGAAACATCAATGATGAGAGATAATCATTGATCGGCTGCTTCCTGCACACCCTCTACTGGGGATTGAGCCAGCAACCAGGGCATGTGCCCTGACTGGGAATCGAACCGTGACCTCCTGGTTAATAGGTCTATGCTCAACCATTAAGCCACACCAGTTGGGCCATTTTTAACCATTTTTAAGTGTACAATTTAGTGGCATAAAGAACATTCACATTGTTTTGCAACCATTATCACCATTCATCTCTAAAACTTTTTCATCATCCCAAACTCTGTCCCCATTAGCACAATTCCCCACCTCCCTCACTTCCATCTACTTTTAACTCTTATTTCCTTATAATAAACTTTCTACCTGGCAAGGTCAGTCCCTCCTTATCACTTTTCTTTTTAGATCATTTTATGTCCTTGCTAATTTAATCTACCAAATGAATTTTAGATTCACTTTGTAAAGTTGTAAGAAAAATTCGGTTGGGGTTGTATTTGAGAACTGACATCTTTACAAAATCTAGTTTTCCCATCCAATAGCAAAGTGTATCTCCTACATAGGGTTCTTTCCTGTGTTCTAGCTTCCCTCTGAGGAAGCTGAGTGTGTTTCCAGCTTGCGGCCATCACCAGGCACTAACAGCAATAGAATTATTGAGAAGTGGGGGAACCAGGGAGCAAGAATTAGAAAATTAGATTAGAATTTAAAATCAGTAGTGTTTCCTATAAGCAGTTCCAAATCCAACGGCTAGCTGAGTAATCATCAATAGAGATGAACAATGTGGGTAATTCACACAAAAAGGATAATCCCAAACCACGCCAATATGGATTAAAACATTTGGAAAACACCTCTGAATTCCTATAAAAGCGCCCACAAAGGACTGTCTGCATTAAATATTGGGGCACTTAGAAGAAACAGGAATAAATGAAATCTACCCAGGTAAATCACAGAAGCTCATTTTACACAACAGTTTCCATATTTTTTCCTGCCAACTTCCCCACTTTTGCCCACTTTTTAATGGAGGTGGCTCTAAGCAAGAAACCTAACAAGTAGATAGGAGAGGAAGCAGAGAGCTGGACAAACTAAACACAAGGTCTAATTATTCCGGGAAACCTGATTGTTACGGTTTTATGTGGATGTCAACACCCTTTGAGTATTTCCAGATTCACAGCTTCGCTCACATAGGGCCTCATTCTTAATGCCATCCCACGTCTCTCATACTTCATCCCACATTGGCCATTTGGGGACTTGCAAGCAGAAAAAAGCATGTGGTGTAACGGAGTAAGAGTTATGCGGCTGGCAGGCAACGGTGACCTCTTCTTAGCACTTACATGTGGACGGCACGGAGCCTCTCTGTCCACACCACTGAGGTTCCTGAGAGCCAGGACTCTGCCTCAGCTTCTGCAGTACCGTGATCTAGGCTTTGTCCACAGTCCATGATCAGTGACACTGGACAAACGGACAAGAATCCAGTGGAGCTCTGTCTGCCTAGTTCAGTGATGGCGAACCTATGACATGCGTGTCAGAGGTGACAAGCAAACTCATTTTTTTGGTTGATTTTTCTTTGTTAAATGGCACTTAAATATATAAAGTAAATATCAAAAATATAAATCTTTGTTTTACTATGGTTGCAAATATCAAAAAATTTCTATATGTGACACGGCACCAGAGTTAAGTTAGGGTTTTTCAAAATGCTGACACGCTGAGCTCAAAAGGTTCGCCATCACTGGCCTAGTTGATGGAGGGCATCTTTGTGGTCCCATGTTAAGGAGACTTGTTTTAAGTGCCAACGAGCTATTCTAACACTAACCAACAGCTCTGAGGAAACAACACCTCGCATGTGATTTGTACAGCTATTCATTCACATACACATTTATTCACTAAAGTCCTGCACAACTGGATATAAATCCCTTAGTAGCACTTCCTTATTATTGTATAGATATAAATATTGGGGAAATGACATTTAAGAATATGGTTTTTATAGGCATTGTATACTTTTCATCTATTTCACACATGTATGAAAGAATTTCGTGTTAAATTAGCAAAATTAGTAGTCTCACTATATACACATCAGCATAGGTTAGCTTACCGATAGAGTTCGGTAAGTAACAATAACAACCTAGAAAAACCAAACCTGTGTTGTTGTTTTCCAGAGAGCTTTCAACTGGTGTGAAAAAAGTTGGCCTTCACTAGGCTTGCTCAAGTGCAGGGTTAATCATTAAAAAGACAGCGTACTGTTTATTTCCAAGTAGCTCAAAAGACTATTTCTGCCTCCAGAAAAGTTCAAACCTTACTTCCTTGGGAAGGAATATATTTAGTAACATCATTTCCTCTAGGCTCCCACACAGCAGGGAGCTGACGCTGAGGTGGAGTAAGGGGAAGATGATCCCTTTTCATTCCATATAGTATTGTTTGACATATTTCAGTGAACATGTGCTCTTTTGTAATTTTTAAATAACTGAAATTAGAAAAATAACAATGCTAGGAGAACGGAGGGGGGTCACCCACCACCTTCCTTTTCCCGCCTTCCTCCTCTGGACTTGAGAGGCGAGGGCAGCGTACTGAAGGGCAGGCTCTGGGCCACACTGCCCAGGCTGGACCTCAAGGGCCACTCGCTAGTTGTGTCACCCTACGGGACAAGTGAGTCAGTGTCCTCATTGGTAAAACGGGGTAACATTGGCACTACCCTCAAAGGTTTGCGGGAAGATTAAACAAGTTAATTATTCACGGTGCACTTAAAACAGTGCCCAGCAGAGAGCGCTTGCCCCACACACCTTAGTTATGGTTGGTTACCATGATTCTGATTATTATGAGTACGCTTAGGAGGTCCGGAGCATGAGGTGAAGTTCTGAATGGTTTTATCACATTAAATATATGATCTTAGGAAAGTGACTTAACTCTGGAAACCTCAGTGTTCTTATCTGTAAACTAGAGGCCCGGTACATGAATTCATGCACGGGTGGGGTCCGGTCTGGGGGGGGAGGGGCTGCGGGCGGTTGGCCAGCCGGCCCCGCACCCGATTGGGGTGGGGGGGGCCGATCGCAGGTGGGGCTGGCTGGGGGGAGGGGCTGTGGATGGTTGGCTGGCCAGCCCTGCCCCCTGGTCGAGGGGACAATTTGCATATTAGCCTTTTATTATATAGGATTGGGAACACCAGTGCCAATGTCAAAGTATTGCTGTGGGGATTAAATGACATACTTTGCACATAGTATAGAGCACTAAACACAGTGCCTGACACTCCATATATGCTCAGTAAGTGGAAATAACTTTTACAATGAAAATGTGTGGAACTTGAAGTTATTTTGTAGCAAAAGAAGGAACAAGAAAACAAACAACCCTCTCCCATAAGGCTGACCTTCCATGGGGTAGAGCTAGCTTTATCAGCTGGCCCACTCGAAGACTCCCAGAAAAGCTGCCTGGCCCTAACAGTTAAATCACTCAGTCATTTGCATTTGTTCATAAACACACTGGCTTGTGTATAAATGTAGAAGGCCAGGTCATTTGCTGGTGCCTAGAACAGCACCTCACACACAGCAGGTATGAATGAGTTTTTCTTGAATGATGCAAGCAAATGAACGTAGGAAAAATCTGGAGGGACTTTGCTTTGTTGAAGTTAGGGAATACTTTTGTCCACAGGAGGCCCATTGAAGATGTTTTGGGAATTTTGCAGACCTGGGTTATCAGACCTGGGTTCTAGTCCTGGCTGCACCCGGAGTGACCTCGGATGACTCCCCGAAACTCACGGAGCCCGTCTCCTCTCCATCAGTCTTTAAGGTTCCTTACAGCTCCAACATTCCAGTCCTAAAGCAAGGAATTCCCTCTTGCACAGGCCTGAGTTTTACAGCACTGGCTGTGAGCAATAGTAAGCATCACCCCTCCTCTGGAATTTACTCTAAGGCAATAAGTCACTTTGACCATCAGATAAGGAAAAAGAACTGAAACAACTGTGTCTTACAATTCCACTGAGATGATTGCTGCTTATCTCTAGTTCCACTGTCCACTCCCAGTCCCTGCAATGGGTGGGCACTGAGTGGCATGCCCCCATTTGAGCCTAGGAGTATGGTTAGCGCACACATGACTTCAATGCAAAATCACTGTGGAAACAATGAGAGAGACAGGACACATGGAAAGTGAAGCACACGTTGAGGAGGGGAGGCTCTCGCCAGGCATGCATTGAAAAAGCCAAGTGCACAACCGAAGGTGTCACACTGCCGAGCGGGAAAGGTTGAGAGGGATAGTCTGAGAAAAGCAATCGCCCCACATCCAACAATGCACACCCAGCAAACCCGCAGATGACTTTTCACAAACGACAATATACAAAGCGCAACCAGCTTTTCTCCGATTCACTGGGTGACGATGGACCGATCCCAGCAGCCCGAAGAAAGGAGGCGCTGGCGGGGGCCTACCTTGCAGTGAGTGGTGCTGACAGGAAGCCCCACGTTGGAGGCGATCACCACCGTGAACGCGGAGGCCAGTTCAATGGTGAAGCCGCTGTGGGAGGGAGACAGGAGACGCATCACAGGCGCCCTTTGTATGGGCCTCACGGACACCCCCGGGGAGCCAAAGTCTCACCAGGACATGCTTTGAATTGACTGCCGACTCCTGACTGGGCCAGATGACATCAATAGAACTAGAAACTGCTGCATAATGGCAACGATTCACACGAAGGCTCTGCTTACATTGTTGACAGCCCCGAATAGCCTTGTTTTTCTGCTAGGTTTTCAAAACCCACACACTGTAGTAACTGGGTCAGAAATTCCTGCTGTGTGAAAATGGTCCCTTACTCATTTCTACAGTGGCGTACGGAAAACTGTGCTCGTATTTAAAAAATGTGTACTTATTACAAAAAAAGTGTATTTTTTCTCAGATGATTAATTTTTCTTGAAGTCAATCTTATAGAAGAATCATTAAAATTCATTTCAAGAAGGAAAAGATTTCTTACAATAGGTAGTTCCAAGTTTTAGTTGTATCCTTCTAACGTTCCCTAATCTAGTAAAGATGAGTGAAAAGGACAACGGGACTACAGAGAAAACCACGAATCTCGGACCCCATCTCTAGGGCAGAGTTGTGAGGGGAAGGAAGCACAAAGTAACCTCAGGGGGGTGGCAGGTGAGGGCTGCTTTGTCCACTAGGTGGAGCTGGTGTGGTGGAGACTTTTGGGGAAAGGCAGGCCCGGGGCCATGGGTGTGGTTTGCATCCCCGGCCTCCCCACTTGCTCTCCAGAGCTCATGCTGGGTGAGACCACCAGTGGGAGGAAATGGGGGCTCCTCGGAGGGTTCTGTTTCTCTTCCCTCCTGCTCTGCTTCAGCCTCTCCTTCCTTCTGTCTTCCCACCCTCTCGTTTTCTCTTCCTCATCTCAGTGCCACAGGCGGATGGGGGCCCAAGAGTGCACGAGGGAGGGCGTTAATAGGGAGGCCAGCAAAGGTGGGGTTTGCTTACCCTCTGCCCCCTGCTCACTGCGACCCCCAGCAGACTGGCTGAGCTGAGGGGTTCAGGGCATAAAAGCAGCACAAGAGGATGTCAACTCTGCTTGGGCCTCAGAGGACCAGCCCTGCGGATCCGGCCTGCACCGGGCTTACCTGGATGGCGTGATCGGAGTGAGGTCTTTCCCCATGGTCTGGATCACTCTTCTTCCCCAAACCCAGAGCCCCGTACAGATTCCAATTCCTCCGTAAAGCAGCAGCCAGATGGGAGTAGGTGCTTCCTGCAGGACTCCACCTTGTTCATAAATCAGCCACAAAGCTACCAGAGGACCAATGGCATTACTGGGAGAGAGAAAAAACTAGATGAATTATACAAACACTGTACGGACAAATGACACTGTACACAACATGCAGGGACTTCTCAGTCTTGGGGTAGCCCTGCTTACTGTACTTATGGCTTGCCTATGTATAATCCAGGGGTGATCAAAGTGATTTATCTAATTTTTTTGTTGTGATAAAAACTTAACAAAAAATTTGCCATTTTAGCAATTTTTACGTGTACAGTTCAGTAGTGTCAAATATATTCACATTGTTGCGAAACATCTTCTGAACTTTTGCATCCTGCAACCTAAAACTGTATAGTCATTAAACAATAATAACTATTTTGCCCTTTGCTCCCAGTCCCTGGTAACCACCATTTTACTTTCTGTTTCTATGAATTTGACTATTCTAGGTACCTCTGTAAGTAGAATTATACAGTATCTGTCTTTTGAGACTGACTTATTTCATGTAGCACGATGTCCTCAAGATTCATCCACACTGTAGCGTGAGTTACAATGTCCTTCCTTTTCGAGGCTGAATATTGCGCTGTGTGCATATACCACGTCTTCTTTATCCCCTCAGCCATTGATGGACATTTGTGTTGCTTCCACCTCTTGGCTGTTGTGAATAATGATGCAATGAACATGGGTGTACAAATATCTCTTTGAGACCCTGCTCTCATTTCTTTTGATTAAATCACCAGAGCAGGATGGCTAGATCATAAGGTAGTCAGGAACCTCCAGACTGTTTTCCATAGCGGTTGCGCCATTTTACATTCCACTACCTGCACCAGAGTCCCAGATTCTCCACATCCTTGCCAACACTTGTTATTTTCTGGTGTGTTTTTTACAGTAGCCATCTTAATGGGCATGTGATTTATTAATTTTTTACAAGTACTAAAAAATCACAAGAAGTGGACACAAAAATCAAGTTCTTTTTCTCTTCCTTTTCCCCCCTCTTTCTTTTCATTTTCACTGCCAGCTCCGCCACTAAGATCAGCCACCAGTTTCGAGTCCCACACTGTGGGATCACACATATGGCTAATCACTAGTTCTCACATCCACCCTGCAAACTAGGTATTGTCACTCCCATTTTACTGATGAAGAAACCGGCACTAAAGTCGGGTCACTAGCCCGAGGCCGATTGGGACATGAGCTCGGGACCCAGGCAGGTGCTCCGTCCTTTCCCCTAAACCTGCTATCATCACTCGGGCCCTTGGCAGCCACACACTGACTTTTTGGAGAGATGCTACAGCTTCTTTTTTAAAAAAAACACTTGTAACTTAGACCTCATTCCTTTAGAGCAATTTAAGGTTAACAATACTGAAGGGAAGGTGCAGAGATTTCCCACATAAACTCTGTCCTCCCTCCCCCCACGTACATAGCCTCCCTCATTATCAACATCCCCAAGACGGGAAGACTCGACATCTTGACAATAGTGAGTCTTCCTATCCTTGAACATGAAAAAAATCTCTCCTTTAATTTTTATTTGATTTCATTAATGTTTTGTGGTTTTTCCACATATAGATCTTTACATATTTTATTAGATTTATGTCTAAGTATTTCATTTTTAGGGTTGCTAATATAAATAGCATTGTGTTTTATTTTTTATTTATTCTTTTAAGGACACAAAGTTTTCTTTAAATATTTTTTGGGGGAGGGGATACCACACTTCTACTCAATTAAGAGAAACATTTTTATCAACACCGAGGTCCTTTTTTTTCCTAATTCCTTTTTTCTTTTAATTTAAATTCTTTATTGTTTAAAGTATTACATAAGTCTCCTTTTTCCGAGGTCCGTTTTTACACTTATTATACCATGAATTCGGAGGGGATGGGTTCAGCAGTTCAGGCTTCTTTCCATTCTCACAAAGTAAGTTTCTCTGGGCCTGGGCGGAGCAGGCTGGTGCTTCAGTTGAATCCAGGTGCCCTTCTCTTTGGATTTCTTCTTTATCTGATCATTTTCCTTCATACGTTTCAGGAAGCTATCTCGGTTCCTAGAGCGCTTAATATGCTCAAAACGTACATTAATTCTCTTGGCAAGAAACTTGCCCTTAACGTGTTTCCACAATGCCCACCGCATGCTGGGTGACACTGTAGACTCCTCTGGCTTTGCAGTGCTTGCCTTTTTGAGCAGTGCCCATTCCCTTGATGTCTACAATATCACCCTTCTTGTAGATTTGTATGTATGTGGGTGGCAAAAGGAACAACTCCACGTTTTCTAAAAGGCCTAGCGGGTGCCTCTCCTCTTTCCTTTGTGTTAGTCATTTTGGCGAATTACTGGAAGATGGCAATTCTGGCCAAAAAAAAAAGCAGTACTGTGTTTTAAATTTCAAATTCCACCTGTTGGTATGTGTGAAAATGATTGATTTTTGTATATTAACTTTATAACCTGAAACCTTGCTATAGTTGCTTATTAGCTGAAGTTTTTATTTATTCAGATTTTCTACATAAACAATCATGTCATCTGTGAACAAAGACAGTTTTATTTCTTCCTTCCCTATCAGTATACCTTTTATTTCCTTTTCCTGTCCTATAACATTAGCTAGAATTTCAGTATAATGTTGAAAAGCAGTGATGAAAGGAGACATCCTTGCCTTGTTCCTGATCATAGTGGGAAAGCTGAGTTTCTCATCATTAAATATGAGATTAGTTGGAGGTTTTTTGGATATTCTTTATCAAGTTGAGGAAGTTGCCCTCGATTCTTAGTTTACTGGATGTGTTTTTGTTTTTAAATTAAAAATAGGTGGTAGATTTTGTTAAATGCTTTTTCTGGATCTATTCATATTACCATGTGATTTTTCTTTTTTAAAATTTGATGGATTACATTAATTGAAATTTTAATGTTGAATCAGCCTTGAAAACCTGAAATAAATTTCACTTGGTCATGGTATATAATTATTTTTATACATTGTTGGATTCAATATCCTAATACTTTGTTGAGGATTTTTACATCTATGTGCATGAGAGATATTGGTCTGTAATTTTCTTTTCTTGTAATGTCTTTGTCTGGTTTTGGTAACAGGGAAGTGTTGGCCTCATTCAATGAGTTAGGAAGTATTTCTTCTGCTTCTATTGTCTGAACAAGATTGTAGGAAATTGGTATAATAATCTCTTTCTTAAATGTTGGCAGAATTCACCAGTGAATTCATCTGGGCCCGGGGCTTTCTGTTTTCAAAGATTAATCATTGATTTGATTTTTTAATAGGTATAGGTCTATTTCCTATAAGTTTTGGCAGCTGGTTTCATTCAAGGACTTGGTTCAATTTCATCTAAGTCATCAAATTTGTGGGCATGGAGTTGTTGATAGTACTGCTTTATCTTTTTAATATCCATAGGATCTGTAATGATGTCTCTTCTTTCATTTCTGATATTAGTAACTTGTGTTCTCTTTTTCTTTTTTTTCTCATTTAGCCTGGCTAAAGCTTATCAACTTTATTGATCTTTTCAAAAAAATAGGTTTTCAATTCACTGATTTTCTGATTTCAATTTCATTGACTTCTGTTCTAATTCTTATTATTTTTCTCCTTCTTACTTTGGATTTGATTTGCTCTTTTTTTTTTCAAGTTTACTCGGATGAATATTTAGATTATATTAGGAAAGAACAAAAAAAAATCAATATTTATTCAATGCTATACATTTCCCTCTAAGCATTGTTTCACCATATCCCACAAATATTGATGGGTTTTTTTTTCATTTAGTTTAAAGTATTTAAAAATTTCTCTTGATGTTTTTTCTCTGAGCCATGTGTTATTTACAAGTGTTTTATATAATCTTTACATATTTGGGGATTTTCCAGTTATCTTTCTGTTATTGACTTCTAGCTTAATTTCATTGTGGTCTGAGAGCAGACATTTATTAGTTCTATTCTTTTAAATGTATCAAGGTTTTTTTATGGTCCAGAATGTGGCCTATTTTGCTGAATGCTTCATGTGAGCTTGAGAAGAATGTGAATTCACTTGTCAAAGTCTACAGATATAAATGATACAGAGTTGATTAATGGTATTATTGAGATTAACTATGTCCTTACTGATTTCTGCCTCCTGAATCTGGTCATGTCTGCTCTGTCTGAAATTAATATAGTTAGCTACTTATGCTTTCTTAGTGCTAGCATGGTATATTTTCCTCCTTCCATTTACTTTTATCCTGAATGTGTCTTTATATTTAAAGTGGGTTTCTTATAAACAAAATACAGTTGGGTTTTGTTTTTTGACCCAGTCTGATAATCTGTGTCTTTTAACTGGTACATGTAGACGACTGGCGTTCAAAGTGATTTTTACATAGTTGGATTAATATTATCATATCTCTTCCTCTTTTTTATTTGTTACCCTTGTTTTTTGTTCCATTTTGTCTTAAGTGAGCATTTTATATGATTCTATTTTCTCTCCTTTGCTAGTGTACTGGTTACACTTCTTTTTTCAACTGTTTCTACCACTAGGTTGGTCCCCCTGGAGTCTTTAACTCTCAGCTTGTCTCCACTGAGCCTCTAGGGTTCATCTTACAGTTCAGCTTTTCCCACCGGGCACTGGTTCCCACAGCAGCGTCCACTCGTGACTCCATGTATTTGACTGTATCTGCAATCCTGGGGGCAGTGGTTTGCCCTGTGTCCTCTTCTCTCTTCCAGATCCAAAAAGAGTTGCTGATTTTGTAGTCTGTTCAGCTTTTCACTTGTTTTTAGGATAGTATGACAACTTCCAAGTTCCTTACATGTGGAACTACACACAGGCTTTTAACGACTTCTGTAGCTCCAGTCTCTTCCTCCCATCCCAGTCTAGACTCTGTAGACAGAGTGTGGGCTGCAAGTCACAAAGAACCGGCTCTCAAGTCTGCTTCTCTCTAGCTGTGTTATCCTGGGCAAGACATGTCACGTTTCTGAGATTCTGATTCCCTGTCTTTGATTAATATCACTGATGACCTCAAAGGGCTGTTTTGAGAAGGATCAGAATCAGTTACAAATGGTTCAGCACAGAGGCCTGCTATGAACTTAATAACCTTTTGGTGAATAAATAGAAGCCCCCTTGTTACTGTTACAGTATTATTTCTAGGACACTGCTTGTATCAGACCACATCCTTACTCAAAAGCTTCAAAACCAACCCCAAATTGTAAGCAAGTGCGCTAACCTCTGGGAAGCTGTAGCAGTTACTGTCTCAACTCCTCCTTTGGCCCTGAAATACTGTTTTGGGTGGTTTTTTACTTTCCCATTTGTATGTATTTCTTATCTCCATAACTGGAGTTTAAACTGCTGAAGGACAGGGACCCAATTCATAACACTTCACCAGTACCAGGTCTCCAATAACAATTCTTGATAAGGAGGAGGAAGGAGGTTAGGTCCGGGGAGGGGCAGTCAAAAAATTAAGACAAGACAGAACATGGTGCCTTGATTAAAATAACATGGCAGCACCTATATAATACTGCAACACACAAGATGGCCAGGCCTCTTGTCTGGTGGAACTTTTTAAAAAAAGAACAGAAATGCAGTTGTACACGGATAGGCAGTGCATAGAAACCCATGGCTGTAAAGCGGAGAGTCATGTAACTGGGCAATAAAAAATGCAACAGCCCTAGCAGGTTTAGCTCAGTAGATAGAGCACCAGCCTGTGAACTGAAGGGTCCTGGGTTTGATTCTGGTCAAGGTCATGTACCTCAGTTGCAGGCTCGATCCCTGTCCCTGGTTGGGCACACACAGGAGGCAATCAATCAATGTGTCTCTCTCACAACACTGATGTTTTTCTCTCTCTCTGTCCCTTCCAATCTCTCTAAAAAAATAAAAAAAGAGTCAATGGAAAAATATCCTCGGGTGAGGATTAACAACAACGAAAAGTAACATTAGGCCCTGGCCAGGTGACTCCGTTGGTTGGAGCGTCGTCCTGTGCACTGAAAAGTTGTGGATTTGATTTCTGGTTAGGGCACATACGCAGGTTGTGGGTTCAATCCCCAGTCTGGTCATGTACGGGAGGCAACCAATCGGTGTTTCTCTCTCACATCAATGTTTCTCTCTCCTCCCTTCTTCCCTCTCTAAAATCAATAAACATATCCTAGGTGAGGATTAAATTTTAAAAAAGAAGCAAGAATAGCATGTTTTCCTGATTTGGATAGAAACATTAGCCCTGCATAATAATTAAAATAACAGTAATAGTGACAATGCATAGATACTGGTTATGGGAGGAGCACTGTCCTAAGCACATTATATAAAGCATCTCATGAAAACCCCATGAGAGTTGGTACTTGTTTTAGCTCCATTTTACAGGTTGGGATACTGAGGCTTTGGGAAAATCAAGTGACTTGTCACTAGCTATCTAGCTAGTAAAAAGAGAAGTAGAGTCTCTCTACATATTCTTCCATATTTCCTACATATTCTGGGACTCCATGATCTGATAACCTTACAGCCTACACTCTCCCTCTTTGCTCCTCCTTGCTCTTCCTAGAATACACTGGGCATATTCCTAGCTCAGGCCTGTGCACCTGCTGTTCCCTCTTCCCGAACTGCTCTTCCTGCAGATGCTCACATGGCTGGGTCCCTTCACTCTTTCAGATCTCACTCAGTGAGCCCTTACCTGAGCAGTCTATCCAGCACTGCAATCCCCAGCAGCTCCAATCTCCTTTCCAGTTTACTTTTCCCTGTAACATCACTGTCTAGCCTATTACATTACAAGTGCTACTCCATTTACCTGTTTACTGTGTGTGCCCACCCCCACCAGGAATGGCAGGGATTTTTGTTCCCTGTTTGCTGCTGTATCCTGGCTCCCAGAACAGTGCCTGGCACACACAGCCCCTCAACACATACTTGGTGAAGAAACGAGTATCCTTACCTCACATCATTGCCACCATGTGCAAAGGATCCAAAGCAGGCAGTAAGGACCTGCAGAAAGTGGAACAGGAGGTGGACCTCGGATGTGTCTTTCTCATCTTTTTCTTCTTCCCCAGGGTCCTCTCGAGGCCGGGCAGGATCTGCCAGCTCAGACGCCAGCTTCATCTCCACACCTCCCTCCTCTGCCTCTATCTCAGCCTCGGCTACCGCATTGCAGTAGCTGGAGTAGCTGTCGTAGCGAAGTCTCTTTTTAGAATAGGACACGGTGTCACCCACCAGCTTCTCACTGTCCTCGGGGGCAGGCAACGGGTCAGCAGCTCTGAAGGTCGAGTGCACCGGCATCCCACAGATGGCCGCCGTGTAGCAAGTGTAGCTGTTGTTCCGCCGCAGGAACCTGTAGTTGTTCTCCGGGGCGGGCTTCTCCTCGGAGCCCCTGTCTGTGTGGATTCTGTGCAGCAAGTCTTTGTAGAGCCCCGAGTCTTTGTGGACCGTGTGGTACACGTGGCCGTCGCTCCTCGTGTGGCCGTCGAAGCCGAATGTGCCATTGGAGATGGGCGATTTTGTGGAGCCGTGAGTCATGGAAAGTGCCCTTCCTGAAAAGCGTTAGACAGAAGCCTTATTTTCTAGCCTTATGGACAGAAATCACGTCTGGGAGGAAATACTCCCCACTGTTTCATGATGCTAATCTCTGGAAGGTTGGATTATGGGTGATGTAAATTTTTTCCCACATGCCTTATTTTCTAAGTGGACTATAAAGGACATGTAATATGGTTAAAATAAAAAAGGAAACTAGTGAACATACGACAAAAAGGTAAAGCTAATAATAAGGTATTTTTAAAATGACACTATTTTTCTCTTAAAAAGAGTCTTCCAGAAATTACTGCAGCATTCCTTCCTGTTTCTAGTAAATGGTAAAGGGAGAATCCCTGTAAGGAACTTACTTTAGAAAACTTCATACATACGGGGCAAAGCCCAGCTTCCTGTGGGCGGGATATTCTAGGTGCACGTGAAAAGGCCAACGTGACTGCCGAAGGCAGTATCTGTCAGATCTGTGGGCAACATGAATTTGCTTCCTCTGGGGCCAAGTCTGAGGCCACACCTAGGAGAGCGGGTGCCAGGTCCCACCTTGAGGGAGGTAGGAAGCTGCCCTGACAGGTCGGGCGGAGGCTGGTGCTCGCCCACCGTTGTCTACAAACTTTATGGACAAAAGGACACGCCAGGACAGGCTTGATGTTTTCTAAGGTTTCTGTGATTCTACGACGGCCCTGGCTCCAATTCTGGCTTTCTCTCTGCGCCTTTACGAGGGAGGCACCCTGACGAAGCTGGATGAGCCAGCCTCTGGCAGAGAGGCAGCTGCACCACCACACACGCACATGTAGCTGAGCGTGCCCTGGCGCCTGATGGGCTGCAAGTAGTTCCTGGAAGGAAAGCGCAGGATGAGAGGCATTCTGCTTGCTGACAGAAGGCCGGTCTCCTGAGGCCTCTTGAGTCTCTGGGTTTTCTCAAAACATAAAACGGGGGACACTTCTATGCCCTGAAACCTAGCGACGCACATGCAGGCCCCACTGCTTACCCTGAGGAATGGCTCGCCGCCACCATGCGAACCCAAGCCCTCCTCTGGTCTTACCATAAGCCACCCGGGGGTGGTTGACCACGGATGTGCCTTCTGGGGCCACAGACGTCTCCCCAGCCGACCCCGTGAGAGGGATGGTGCTGTCGTCATTGGCCCTGGCACCAGGGAGCTCTTTAAATACGGGGGATTCCGCTTCCTGAATTTTATTGAGGCTTTCATCAGAGACTCGCGATAAAGCACCTTCTTTTCGTAATTTGCCTAAAGAAAGTACAGTCATAGCTGAAAATTTTGTAAGAATTCTTGTTATTAAAAAACAAATATAAAAAAATGAGTATCTTTATATCTCAGTACTTACTTTGGAAATGAAACAAAAACGTAACAGCTAGACAGAGAAAATGAAGTGGAGAGTTCAATCGATTGTCTGGAAAACTTAGGCCAGAAAATTCAGCTACTGAGGAAAAGATGGGGGTGTAGGGCCTGAATTATCTCATCAAAAACCAGCAAAACAGAGAGGGTCATATCTGATTCCCAGGGTCCCTGTACAGGATAGCATTCTGCAATTCTATAACCATCTAGGGCTCACCTTCTATTTTATTAAACTAACCTCGGAATCACTGAAATGTTTATCCTTTCTGTCTTCACTGATATTGTTATAGTCTGTTTGGTTTTCTTCTGTTCAATAAATTATTGGTTTCAGAATTCTTCGGGTCACTAAATCTTAAGAAACAAGTAAATCATTTTTCTAAGAAAAAACCAAAAAAAAAAAAAAAAAACCCCACCACCAACAACAGAAAGATCCTACTTTGAAAAATCATTTATTTTCTAAAGAAACAATAGATTTTTAAAAAGCTATTTTATAGCTCGCTAGCACTCTTCTGAATCAAATCTGTTCTGTGGTGCTACTCAAGTAATGATTTTGCAAAATTCCCTGAGCAAATGTTTAAGCTCTCCCCTACAGCAATGAAATGGAAATGTTCTCGGTTTCTCTGCTGAAGACACTCACACGTAGTCTCTCTCCCTATCATCTATCTCTGTATCTACCTAGTCAGACAGATAGATTTTTTTAAACTAAATTTCTCTTATGTACTACAGGGGACAAGAAATGTACATACAGATATATTGGCCTCAAATTGCTTATAATCTAAATGAGAGAATATTTGCATATCTATAAAAGCCTAAGTGACCTTTACGACCAGTCCGAATGACTGGTCGCTATGACGATGCACTGATCACCAAGGGACAGATGCTCAATGCAGGAGCTGCCCCCTGGTGGTCAGTGTACTCCCACAGCCAACCTCCCGCACTCCCTCCTCCCACCCCCGGCCAGCTGGCCCTGATAGCTGTCCAGGCCAAGGGACCCTACCCATGCATGAATTCGTGCACCGGGCCTCGAGTTTATAATAATTAAAACAAAAATTATTAACACAGGAAAACAACTCCGGCAGCTTTCTAAGCCATATTCTTCTTTCTTTAAAAACTGTTTTACTGAAGTAGAACTTACATACAGTAGAATTCATACATTTTGAATGTTCAGGTAGATGACCCGTGACAACATAGGAGTATACCCTATAACCACTCCCCGCATTAAGACAGTACATTTTTATGTCCCTGCGAAGTTCCCTCCTGCCTCTCTGCAGTCCGTCTCCTGCAGCCCCGCACTGGCCTCAGCAACCAGTAATTTTTATAGATTAATTTTCCCTAGAATCATACAGTATGGACTCTTCTGTATCTGGCTTCTTTTGCTCAGGGAAAGGTCTGTGAAGTGTGTCCTATTGTGCCCACGGTGGTAGGCAGTTCATTCCTGTATTTCTCAGCAGTCTTTTAATGTATGAATAGACCACAATTTGGTTATCTATTAACCTGTTAATGAGCATTTGGGTTATTTCCAGTTTGGGGCAATTACAACCAAATGATTTGTGTACAAGTATTTTCATGAACACACATTTTCATTGCTCTTGGACAAACACCCAGAAGTGGGATTACTGGGTCATATGCTAAGTGTATACTTTACTTCATAGGAAACTGCTAAACTAATTTCCAAAGTGGCTGCACCACTTTACATTTCACCATAAATAAAGTTATTCCACTTCTTCACCAACACTTGATATTGCTAGTCTTTCTACTTGCGGTGTGAAGTGGTGCCTTAGTGTGGTATTAATTTGCACTTCCCAGATGACGAATGTTCTTCATCAGGCTGGTAGAGCTTCCTGGCATAGGGCCTTGCTGTGTGAGCCAGGACCAGGAGACAAGGCCTGGGCATGTATCGCAGTGTGTGTTCTAGAGTTACCCATGCTTCCATTTCCCTCTGTTAGTACGGGTAACTGTGCATCACATCTGGAGTCTCGGGACTTGGGAGCACTTTTGTAAATCAGAAAAATAAAAGAGCACTTACCTGCTATTTTCCTCCGCATCCACGGACACACAAAGAACCACACGAAAATGGCGAACAACAGCGCCACGCCAAAGGAGATGAGCGCTATCGCCCAGATGGGAAGGACCAGGCCGAGCACTGAGAACAGAAAAGACAGCAGTGGTCTCAGTGGCTACTTTCTGAAAGGTCAAGCCTCAGAGCAACATACTTTCCATTCCCCTAAGCTAAAACCAGTCACCTGGATTTTGTGTCTAATAAAACCCACAGCCAAAAACATGTGCCATGCTTTTCAGGACAGAAAGCTGTGTGTTTAAGACACATTTCACCTTGTGAATATGTGGTTAAATTGGTCAGTAATCTAATTATTAAAATTTTACCAAATTGGCACAAGCAGTATATTAAGTTGGCAATAAAATCATTTACAGCTTATCTCAATATCTAAATTCCCAAGTGGACATGTATGTGGCTAAGAAAGGAGTCCGCCGCCTCATACCCTATCATCAGCCCCTCTGGGTGGGAGAGGCTGAGGTCTGGACGCTGCACAGAGCCGCTGGCTGCCTGCCTGCCTCTCTGGCTTCTCGCGGGTCAGCCACCCTGCTTTAAATGGACATGTCACTCTGACTACATACATGAATCTTTTTAGAAATCAGCTTAGGAATACAAGCTTTCAAAGGATCTTGACCTTCAAATTTAACTCTTCTTTGCAGTATCAACTCATGGAATTACAACATAGAAAAACTTTTCATTAGAAATGTGATAATGCACTAAGATGCAATTACCTCAGCAAACGAAAGGGTAGGGTGCACATGGTTTAGGAACATCCTGTTTTCCTAGATGTTAAACATGTGCTTACATAGGGATACATGATAGGCATACAAGAATACCTACGATAGCATTACTTGTAATAGCAAGAATTTGTGAGACAACTAATATATGCATCCTTAGGGAAATGTGAAATAGTTATAGTCTTAAATCATAAAAATGAGGTGGATCTATATGTGCTGATAAGGAAAGAGGCCCAGGGTCTAGTTAAGTAAGAAAGGCTGGGTGGGTAGCAGTATGCACAGCATGATCCAATTTACATTTAAAAAAGATAACGACCTCACATTTACTCCTATCATATGTGTGAATGTATAGCAAAAGTTCTAGAAAACGCAATGGTTACTACTGGAGAGAGATGCGAAATTGGAGGGGGCTTTTCATTCTTACTACATATACATTCGTACTGTTAAATTTGAAAGTATATAATAAACATGCACTTTTGAAAATTGTTAAGAGTTTTTAAAAAGTGTTAGAGAAGTGAACTACTTAAAACATTGCCCTTTGCCCGGCCAGCATGGCTCAGTGGTTGAGTATCAACCTATGAACCAGGAGGTCATGGTTCGATTCCCAGTCAAGGCACATGCCCGGGTTGGGGGCTCGATCCCCAGTGGAGGGTGTGCAGGAGGCAGCGGATCACGATTCTCTCTCATCACTGATGTTTCTATCTCTCTTTCCCTCTCCCTTCATCTCTGAAATCAATAAAAATATATTTTAAAAATAAGTAAAATGTTGTCCTTTGATTAAACGAATCTTTAATGATGCAAGCTTGTCACATATTTAATGATTTTATGCATAGAAACCAACTCAAAGTTATTCAATTAAGGTATTATTAAACGCTAGAGGCCCGGTGCACGAAATTCGTGCACTCAGGGGATGGGTAGTCCCTCAGCCCGGCCTGTGCCCTCTCGCAGTCCCGGAGACATCAGGGGATGTCCAACTGACAGCTTAGGCCCGCTCCCGAGGCTCCTGCCACCACCGCTGTGCTGGCCAGCCGTGAGCCCAGCTCAGGGCTTCTGGCTGAGCGGTGCTCCCCGTGTGGGAGCGTACTGACCACCAGGGGTCAGCTCCTGCATTGAATGTCTGCCCCGTGGTGGTTAGTGTGCGTCATAGCTACCGGTCGTTCTGCCGTTCGGTCGATTTGCATATATTAGCCATTTATTATATAAGATATTTGGTAATTTTTAAGAGGTAGAATAGATAGTTAATACTATAATAGGAGTGAATTAGCATATATAAATGTGAAAAACAGAACACCAGAATCACCTACTTCATCTATAGCTAAGGGCACATTGGTGGGAATATAGACACTTAGGGGCTAGGCTGTTTCTCTTCCAAACTCCTGGGTACCACAGAAAGTGGGGGACTGGTGTGGGGCTGTGCCCCTTCAGCTGGTGGCCAGCTCCAGCCCCGGCTCTGCCCCAGAATCCGAAGCTTGGAGCTGCTTATAAAACCACTGGGGCTGACCTCACCAGGCCATGCTTGTGGGCCACGGCATCCTGGCTTCTGCTTTCTTTCTCCATGTCAGTGTCTAATACATGTGATAAAGGATCACTCCAAAGCTGTTTCCTGCCAAACTGAATGGTAACTGTTAATTACCCACATCAAACTGACCACCTAACATCAACACACATCACTCTTACAGCTTAAAAGTACTTGGTTTTTGAAGAGGTTTCCCCTGTTTCCTTTGGCTCCTGGTTTAGTTGGTGGTAAAATTGTTAACTGTGCTACTTTTGACTTCATTGTGTTAACCTGACCTAAGAGAGGCAAGCCATGGATACTGTGGGGAGAGAGAAACAATTTGAGAGATATTTGTTCCATCCATGCCAAGCAGAGCCCACAACAAAAGCCGAGAAGGGCTGCTTTATGGGCCTTTTCCAAGCCCATCTCCACACTCCCTGCTGGGTTCAAGTGGGATTCCAAGGGTGTCAGGGCCAACATGCCCAAGGGTTTCCTGAGGTCAGTTATAAGCTTCCGATCCTTTTCTTAGACAACAAGCCACAATGTCACCTGCTCCTTGAACCTTCACTGTCAGAACCGCCTATGCCATTGGTCTGGCCTGAGTCATGGCCAGAGGCTCTGAAGTCGCCCTCCCAGTCACAAGGCACTGGATGGAGGGCAGGGGATAAACACGTACTAGAGGGAAGGGGGCAGGACTGAGTAAAACATCAAGGAGGGACAGAGTGAAGGAAAATAGGAGAAAGTCATTGATAGTGAGCAAGGTCAGGGGAACAGAAGGGGCAGAATTTATTTTTATTTTTGTTAATCCTCACCTGAGGATATATTTTTTCCATTGCTTTCTAAAGAGAGTGGAAGGGAGGGGGAGAGACAGAAAGAGAAACATCAATGTGAGAGAAGCACATCCATTGGTGGCCTTCCACACCAGCACTAGAGATCGAGCCTGCAACCAAGGTATGTGCCCTTGACAGGAATCAAACCCGTGACAATTCAATCCGTGGGCTGATGTTCTATCCACTAAGCCAAATATTGTAGCCAGAAGGGGCAGAATGTAGATCTTACCAATCATTTCCGCAAGTCAGTAACGTAACTGAGCATCAAAAGAACATGAGGATTTGTTTTAAAGCCTCCATATAAGAAATACAAACTGACAGTTATCCTATATAATAAAGAGGCAATATGCAAATTGACTGTCACAACTCACACAAGATGGCCATCTCCATGTGGTCACAAGGTGGCTGCCATAAGATGATCGGCAGGGGAGGGCAGTTGTGGGCGATCAGGCCAGCAAGGGAGGGCACTTGGGGCAACCAGGCCAGCAGGGGAGGGCACTTGGGGTGACCAGGCCAGCAGGGGAGCAGTTAGGCATCGATCAGGCTGGCAAGGGAGTGGTTAGGGGGTGATCAGGCTGGCAGGCAGAAGTGGTTAGGGGCAATCAGGCAGGCGAGTGGTTGGGAGCCAGCAGTCCTAGATTGTGAGAGGGATGTCTGACTGCCGGTAGTTGGACATCCCCCAAGGAGTCCCAGATTGGAGAAGGTGCAGGCTGGGCTGAGGGACACCCCGCCCCCCCCAGTGCATGAATTTTGTGCACCGGGCCTCTAGTCTATGCACATAAAAGCCTAATATGCAAATTGTCCCCTCGGGAGCTTGACCAGGAGAATGGGAGTTCAATCACTCGCTATGACATGCGCTGACCACCAGGGGGCAGTGCAGAACAAAGGAAGGCCCCAGCCGGCAGTTGGAAGGAAGGCCCAGGCCAGCAGCCGGAAGCCCCAATCAGCCCTGATCACCGGCCAGGTCTAGGGACCCTACCCATGAACGAATTTCGTGCACCAGGCCTCTAGTTTGTAAATAACTCTAAATTGTACTAAATACATCAAATCCAGTTTCATGGGTAAAACATAATTAAATACAAAACTTTGGCAGAAAAAAGCACTGGAATCAATGTGCATCCTAGGGAGAACTTTTTCTCCTGAAAAAGTTAAGGCTGAGTTATACATAACAAGATTTTTGACAGGCATACTTGGAATTGAATTGTCTTCCTCTGAGGATCTCAAAATGTTTTGCAATAATTACGCCTTAGGAGGGCAGTAAAGCACGGCCTGCCCTTCACTCTGCGGACAGGCAAAGTAGGACACGGCTTGAATTGCTCCAGCTACCGCAGCCAAAAGCACTGCCAGGAACCAAGGCCGGGAGCTCTGAGCCCGTCCTCTGCTCCAGCCACTCAGGGGCCTTTCATCTCCAGCCCTTTCCCTTCTCTGAAGAGCAAAGCTATGATGAATAGTGATTTAGCTCCAACCTCAAGCATCATTACAGTCCTGTTCCAAATCCCCCAAAGATCAGAAGATTCAAGTGATTCAAGCAGTTAAGAGAGCGTTTCAGAAACGGGCACAGTCTTCCAGAGTCGTTGCTTTGTTACACCTCTTGCTTTTCATCTATGACAGTCATTATTAGAAACTACAAAATAACTAAAACTGCTATACAACCAATAAGGCTTCAGTCCATATTAACGACCTTACAGCCCTATGCATCAGCCTCTCCCTACAACTTTCCTCTTTTTCTCTCCCTCCTTTTAGTATAATTTTATAATATATGCTTACTATAAAAATGTCAGCAGTAAAAAACTGTATGACGTACAAATGTAAAACTCCTCACCACACTCCCCTCTTGAACCCACTTCCCAGAGAAACACTGTTAACTACCTGGTGTGTAGTTTTCCAAGCATCATCTAGATATAAACCACACAGTGTAGAGTGTTGGCCAGAAGTTTGTCCCTCCTTTTTTCCCCCAAATTAATAGATGTAGAATCTTACTGTATATACTGATCTGTATTTTCGTTTCTCACATAACCACACACTGTG